AGAGAGAGAGAGAGAGAGAGGGTAATTCAAGTGCCTGCTGCCTGCCTTGGATGTCGTAGCCATCTCTCAGGCTCCCTCTCCGGAATCAACCCTAACTCTCCGTCACCCGTTACCACCATGGTAGGGCTCTATCGTTCCATCGAAAGTTGATAGGGCAGAAATTTAAATGGAACATCGCCGGCTCGAGAGATGGGGAATGGGGAAGGGGGAGGGTTAGGGGAAGTTGGCGGAGGAGGGGGTATAAAGAAAATACCCCATGGCGCGACTCTTTTCCAGTTTTTATTTTTTACTTTTATTGTTTTTGTGAAGCATGTGTGTGCACGTGAGGCAAACGGGAGTACGGTAATCCATACTCTCGTAGCTCCGACATACTCGTCGGCCCATTCATGATAAAAAAGCACGCAGCGGAGGCGATTCACACCGTGGCAGGGTAAAACCATTTCCTGTCCCTTCGCAGGTGGAGAGAGGGCCAGACATTGTCGAACCACCAGCCAGTTGGACGAGGAAGGAAGAAACGAAGTCCCGTTTCGGGAGAGGTGGGGATTAGGGTGGATCCTTTTCCAAAGGTGGAATGGGGTCTCCCTTATATCAGAAAATACCTCATAGCGGGGAGGGGGGGGGGGAAATAATAATAAATAAATAAGAAATAAAATAAAATAAAAAAATAAAAATAATAATAAATAAATAAAAATATAAATAAAAATAAAATGAAATAAAAAATAAAATAAAATACGAGCATTCTCCTTCGTAAGGAAACTATCACACAGACGGAGAGAGAGGGAGTACGTATTTAAAGGCGATATGAGTGAAGAAAACACATAGGGGTTGAAGTGCCCCCCGGTAATGCCCAGGAGGCAAAGGAGGAAGGAACAGAAGGGAACAGGCGCCCTATTAGTTGTCCCTGATCTATTTATATAGGGATGTATAATAATGGCATATGCATTTCCCAGCCCCGAGTCGTCATTATTCAAGAAAAAATCGGGACAAAATCCAGGTAAAAAGGACCGTCCAGAGGGAGGCATGATCCCGAAGCAGCTGACAGAAAAAAGGATAGATCAACTTTTTCATGCGCGAAGACAATATGGTCAGAAGGGCTATCCCCACGATCCCATAAGGAGAAGACGAGAACATTGACAAAAAACGAGGGGGAAGGGGGCATGTGCCTTACTAGTCATCCCCGCGTTATTCGGACAGGGATGTATAATAATGGTACACGCATTTCCCAACCTCGAGCCGTCATTATCCGAGAAAACATTGGACAAACTGTGACGGAAAAAAGGAACTGTTCGTAGGGAGGCATGATCCCGAAGCAGCCGACCAGGACGACAGAAAACAGGATGGACCAGCTTTTCATGAGCTATTTTCACGATCCATAAAGAGAAGAAGGCGAACATATCGACAAAAAAGGAAAAGAAGAAAAAAGGAGAAAAAAGGAGAAAAAAGAAAAAAAGAAAAAGAAAAAAAGAAAGAAAAAAAGAAAAAAGAAGAAAGAAGAGAGTAAAAAGGAAAGGGAAAAAACGGGAGGAAGGGGAGCATGCGTTTTACTAGCCATCCCTGCGTCATTCGGACAGGGACGCGTAATAACATATGCGCCACTCATCATGAAAAAAAGGTCATATGTCATCAACTCAAAAACGAAAGCAATCCATTTCCAAAGAGGCCAAGATTCAGAACAAAGAAGCCATCAGACTTTATTGTAAAAAAAACAAACCGCCGTTTAATCGTTACATAAGCCCTGGCCATTCCGTCGCCATTATGTGTATAGTGGGGAAGGAGAAGGGGAGGGAAGTGAGAAGAAGAAAGGGGAAAGGAGACGGGAAAGGAGAAGAGAGGAGAGACTCCTGCTTCTGCTCTATCCTCCAGATCCTGGTGTGCTCCTGTATCCGCACAGATCATCACGCCAAATTGCAGGAAGGGTGTGGCAAATCCCTAAAGCGCTTTTCTGCCCCGAGCCACGCGGGGCGTCATCACAAGGGGGGACATCTTCCATGGTCTTTGGAAGGCGAGGGGGAGGGGGCGAAGGAGGGGGTCGTGGTAGTACGGGGGAATTTTTTGTTTGTCGAGGGAGGAGGGGCATAGTGGGGGGGGGGAGAGAGTAGGTGTTGGTTCGAAAGAATAGGGGGTTCATGGGGAGTTGGTGGAAAACAGGGGATGGAGTAGATGAAGTAGAGGAAGGACAGGAAAGAGAGGAACGAAAGAAAAGCTAAAAAGGCACATGAAGATGTCTCCGCTGTCGCTCTGGACTCCATGATTCCACCTGCAGCAAGTTCAGCACCCAAGCCAGCGAGCGATGCTGAGGGCGTAGAATAGGCAAAAGCAGCACGTGAAAAAAACGGTTGCAAAGCAGATGGTTCCTGCGATAAGCGTTGCGAAGCGTTTCGTCGAAGAGCACAGGTATACCCTCTCCGATAGGCAAGCGGTGCAGAGGAGGCTGGTGATGGCGAGATTGGGCAGCAGGGCGAGGAGCAGAAGAGGAGCAAGAATGGCGCTCAGCGCACGGGTATCAAACCGTATGCAAGGCAAGTCATAAGGCGCAGGGCAAGTCTCACTAGGCTGCATGATGCTAGGCTGAGCTGCGGGGCGGCGCTGCGGGACAAGACAGAGACCGGAGGAGTGTAGTCAGCGCGTTACCACTTCTTCCTCGTCCCGGTGTTCGTCCTCGTCGTCCCAGTCGGCGGTGAAATCCATAGTGCGAGCAGGCACCTTGTTCTACCGTATAGCAAAAACCGGACCGCACCGTGCCTCAACCGTCTTGTGAGTGTCGGCTGCCACACGGCGGACCGATGAATAGTGTTGGTCGAGCCGGTCTTCATATAGTCACCGTCCTTGCCCAGAATAGCATCCTTCAAGCGGAAGCTAATGCCACCTGCCGTCCATCGGATGTACTAATCTGACGGTAAGGCCAAAATAGCAAAAAAAGGAAAAAAGAAGAAAAACAGAAAGAAAAAGAAAAAGAAAAAGAAGACAATTCATAGATTAGCACAAAATGTGAGGCTTTACTCTCGTGGAGGACATAATGTGCCAAAATCAGGAAAAAACTGGAATGCCCAACAGAGCATCCAGCATCGCCCTTCTGCCTCGTCCACTCAGGCGACGACTAACTCCCTCCCTTCCTTTAAGTAGCTATGTTCTCCCCTGCTTTGCTATGTCCTGCGAAGTACGAGACCTTTGCCTAACTCCGTCCGTTCCTCCTCTTTCTCAAGATCACCGGAGATCGCGTCTACTGCCTCCAACACCAAGCGCTACCAATCCAGATCGACCCGCATGATACCGGAAATGCGACTACGTGC